TCGTATGGATTGTTGAAGTGTGGGAACAAAAATCTCATTTATATTTAGGAGGCGTTGAGTTTTTCTTCGGTGTCGGCCTATGTATTGCACCCATCATTTTGAGGCCATATTTGCCAGACTTTTCATTCAATGACATTCATCTCAATATCACTTACAACTCAACAGATCTTAACACAAATGATAGTCAAACAGAAAACAACACAAACATAAACACATATAACGATTCGCTAATAGAAATCCCATTTGCTATAAACGGATTGTTTTTAGTCGTGTCGGCGATTATACTATTGATTCTTCACTTTTACCGCCGATATATACCTCCCGTAAAGCAAACCAAAAAGATTACATTCAAACGGCCCAAGAAGTGGGAACTCATTTACACCACTTTCGGTGTCTTTATAATCGGCATATTCTATGGCTTTGAATTTATGGTGTTTGAAATGTTGCCCACATTTATCGAGAACTCATACCTACAACTGTCCGCCTATAAGTCAGCCCTCATATACGCTATAATGACGGCCACATTTACGGCCGCTCGCGGACTAAATGTCTTGATTTCCATTAAATTCTGGTCTAAAAACAGTATTTACTTGAATTTAATTCTGATAATAGTGGGAAACGGTATTTTAGTCCTCTTTGAGACCAATAAACACTCGGAAACACTACTAGTGATAGGAGTTATGATTTTAGGTATCGGTTTGTCCACTACTTATCCATCGATTTATTCATTTCTTGATTCTCAGCTTTCATTAAGCAATACTATCGGCGGTCTATGCGTTTGCAGCGCCGGTATAACGGGTGCTATATTTCCGGCACTTTGCGGACAGTTTATTGATATTCAGCCAACATTTCTGCTACACATGACAATTGTTTTGACGGCAATTGTTTTAGTTTTATTCACAATTTTCAATATTATTATTCACAAAAATGCAAACAAAATTTAATAGTATTAATACATTTTATTGTAAACATTATGGTACAATATTTTATTAATACATTACATCTTCAGACATGAAAAGTTATTTATTTTAATATTTATTTCAATGTTAATGATTGAATAGATTTATATGTCTATTTTTATTATTAATTTATATTTTAATATTTATCTTATTATTATTTTCATTATAATTTTTAACATAAATTGAATTTCATAAATAATAGTGAGAAAACTTTATTTTTCAAATCAATTGTTATATTTTTGAATTAAACACAATTTGTAACTTAGGTTCAAATAATATAATACAAAGCACTTAATAAATACGTTAACAAAGAATTAACATAAAATGTACTATTATTAATAATTATTCAATATAACAGTTTTGAATATTAATTACATCAGTAGATATGAAAAACCAAAAAATACTGGATTATATCTTTCCTAACTGTATATGTCTTCCAATATAAGAGAGAAATATCAAATTAAATGACTTAACATTAAAACTATTGATTTGCTGTTAATCTCATGCAATTAAATTAATTTATCAAAATATTCACTAATAGTGCAATTTATTCAGTAATACCATTGAATTCATTGCCTAACATTTACTATTTAATAAATTAAATAAAAAATTATTAAAAGTCATCGTATCAATATTATAATAAAATAGTTTTCCATATTTTATCTATAGATATACTTTAGTTTTGGTATTAAAACGCGCATTATTACTCTCAAGTTTATAATAATTACATTGTACAATTGTTAATAAATATAGAGTAATTTGCAAAATTAAAAGTGAATTTAAATTGCTATTGTTAATTATATTTTAAAATAATAATTACCACAAAGGAATTATAAATATATTTTCAATTTCGACGGCTATTCATATGATTGTAAAATGAAGGAAAGAGTAGCAAGTATATATTCATTTCATGAATTGGATCCCAAATACAAACAATTGATTACATGGACACTGTTTTTGTGCTCATTGGCTGATGTAAGTCTTGATTGTATTGTTATTATCATTGACTAATAATGTTGTAATTTAATTATATTTTATAAACTAATAATAATTATTATATGTATTGAAACATAGGGAATCGTATTGAGTATAATCGGTCCGGCGTTAAGCAATTTGGCGTTTAAATTGAATGTTGAGATCAATGAAATATCACTTGTTTTTACCTATTTTGGTATTGGATATACTATTGGACCGATTTTAAGTCAGTATCATTTACATATCATTTGACAAAATTTATATTATTATTTTGTCAATAGTAAATAATTGTTACAAATTCATAAAACAGACGGAATCAAATTCAATCGCTTTAATAGACAGCTAACCCTCTTCTGTCTACTAATACTGATGGGATGTGCGATCACTTTATTGCCATTTTCTACAAACTTAATATATCTGTTCATTGCAGCCACTATTTGTGGCTATTGTTCAGGAGGTTTGCTATCCTTATTATCATTACATTTCATATACAGTACATTAGAAACTTATTAATAATTCACAATTAATTTATATACCATAAGGTCTGGACACTGGACTTATTGTATGGATTGTGGAAATCTGGACATTTGAATCCCACCTTTATTTAGGAGGCGCCGAGTTCTTCTACGGACTCGGATTATGTGCCGCACCCCTAATGTCCGCATACTTTCTCTCCAACAACATTATAGACATCACACATAACCACACCATTGAAGCCATCACTAAAAACATCACTGAAAACATCACAAATACGAATACATTTTCTGACTTTTATGTTGAAATACCGTTTGTAATCAACGGTGTATTATTGATGATCGCATCCATTGCCTTATTAATTATGCACTTTTATCGCCCGTATATTCGGATAGTAGAAACGGATCACAAACAGAGGTTTAAATGTCCTGAAAAGTGGGATCTTATTTGTATTACTCTCGGAGTACTTATAAGCGGAATATTCTTCGGCTTTGAATTCATGGTCTTTGAATTATTGCCCACTTTTATGGAGAACTCGTGTCTACAACTGTCCCCATCCAAGAGTGCCTTTATATTCGCTATAATGACTATAATATTCACTTCAGTTCGTGGTCTCAATTTCATAGTATCCATCAAATGGTGGTCCAAAAACTCAATTTACTGTAATTTCCTTTTAATATTAATCGGAAATTTTGTTTTATATCTGTTTGAGACAAATAATTGTTCAGAAATGGTATTAATTATTGGCGTTATTATCGTTGGCATTGGTTTCTCAACGGCCTATCCATCAATATTTGCATATCTCGGCACACATTTATCATTAAGTAATACAATCGGAGGGTTTTGTGTGAGTGCCGGCGGAATAATGGGTGCTCTCTTTCCGGCCATATGTGGACAGTATATCAAACAAAATCCTTTATTTCTAGTTTACATGAGTGTTGTTTTGGTTGTTATTAATGCCATTTTATTTTTCATTTTTGATGTAATTATTTGTTTTAAAAATGAAAAGAAATAAACTCTTATTTACTCAAAACTTTTTATAGTATTTTCTNATTTTTCATTTTTGATGTAATTATTTGTTTTAAAAATGAAAAGAAATAAACTCTTATTTACTCAAAACTTTTTATAGTATTTTCTCAATAAATGCTCGCTATAAATGTTATTAAGATACAGAGCCCGCACCCAACATAACCCATGGAGTATTAATGTTATTTATAATACTAGAGAATGAGCATTGCTTTTTCCAAAAATACCAGGACAATTTTAACCAAAATTTTGTAGATACTAAATAGATATAAAATATTGTTCGTTTTCATTAAAAATTAAATGCTTTTACGTGTTAAATAGGAAACGGACTTTGTACATTTATAAAAATTATAAAAAATATTAGTATTTTTGTTAAATCATGACAAAACAACATTGAATTCTGATTTTAATTAATGTATTTATTAATCATTTTATTAAATGGAAAGATTACCTTTATTCATCAAATTAGATATTAATAAAAAAAAGTTATAAATTATTATTCATAAGACATAATACTGTATAATAGGATTATTGAAAATTTTATAATTAGCAAACAAACAGTGCACTTATTGTTGGCAGAATAACAAGTGATGGTCTGTTGTAAACTACATGTAAGATTCATATTTTGATGTAATTTACGTATGTAAGATATGTAAATTACATTCGGGACAACACTTATTATTAACTCCAATAATATTTTAATGGATATAAATTATATAATAAATGACATTAAAATTATTTATCAATTTACAATTCTAAAAATTCTCATTGAAATAACAGAATAATTGTTAAAGTAATTTATTTTAAACATGAATGTGAATTATATTTCATATTATTTTTACAAAATAAATATTTCTTGAGTGTTGTTGTTGAAAATTTTTTAAGTAAGATGTATGAGGGCATCTGTTTCTCAATACAGTTGTGTTTTATTGCAAATCACTATAAATACTGTAGATTTAAAGCCAATTATATAAAACATTAATTCATTTGTGACAATAACAACATTCAATACTTAGTTATTACGCGTAAAAGTTGACTAAAAATAATTTTCAACATTAATGTCGGAAGAGTTAAAGAATCGCTTTACAATGGAAAGTCCAATTTGTAATATAAATATATTGGACAACAAATACAAACAATTATATACATGGATTTTATTTTTCTGTACCTTTTCTTATGTAAGTATTTATTTCTTAATTAATTTATTGCTTAATTTGAATAAAATAAATTACCTAGGGTCTTATAATCAGTATACTTGGTCCAGCATTGAGCGATTTACAAGTTTTATTGAGAACAACAACATCCGATTTATCATTTATATTCTTGTGTTTTTATATTGGATATACTTTTGGAGCACTAATTAGTTTGTATTGTTTTATATTTATTGTATTTTTATGTATTATTTTAGTTAATGTTGTATGCCTTTTAGGTTCTCATATGTTTGGCAAACAAGTTTGTCAAATGTGCTCAATTTTGAGCCATAATTTATAGATTATTGTTTGTGTTTTTTAATTATATTAGTTTTGATGATCTAATAATCAAATAATAATTAAGTTTAATTAAATTTTATATATTTTTATTTTAAGATGGGGTTGTTTTCAATTACATTAACCGACAATTGGTTTTGGCATTTCTCATGCTTCTGATGGCCGTAACCGTCGCTGTGATACCCATTTGTCCAAACCTTCGCGTATTGTTCACAATCGCTGCACTTTGTGGCTATGGATGCGGAGGTTTGCATAGATTTTCATTGAAATCTAACAAAATAGTAAATTATTGTATATTTAGGATTAGACACAGCGCTTGTCGTCTGGTTAGTGGAAATATGGGGCCAGAAATCAAGTCTTTATTTAGGAGGCTATCAATTCTTCTTTGCTGTGGGCGTCTGTATAGCGCCCCTAATCTCAGCCCCTTTTCTCACTAATATTGACACAACTTATGTGTCCATTAATTCAACAAATATTATAAATCCAACAATAGTTAACATAAAGCGACTCGAAGTGCCTTTTATTATAAACGGTGTTTTACTTTTAATTTCGTCACTTCTGTTAATAATAGTATACTTTTACTGCAAATATATTCCTCCCATTAAAACAGGGAAAGAAATTAGTTTCAAGGCATCCAAAAAATGGGATTATATTTATCTTATTCTCGGAATATTAATAATCGGTCCGTACGTCGGTCTGGAGCTCATGAACTTCCAACTCATCCCTACATTTCTTTCCGAGTCCTATCAACCGATGTCTGCATCTAAAAGTTCCCTTATGTTAGGCCTTTTGACCGGCGTTTTCGCAATATTTCGTTTAATCAATTTTATAGTTGCCATCAAATATTGGACTAAAAATTATATTTACATTAATTTAATCCTAATATTTATCTCAAATATTCTGCTATTTGTATATCAATATTACGAGTCCTCTGAGAAATTATTAATGGCCGGAATAATAATTATGGGAATCGGTTTTTCAACAGTCTATCCCTCTGTCTATTCATTCTTTGAGAATAATATGTATTTAAGTAATACAAAGACAGCCCTTTTGATTGCATCGGCGGGAATAGCAGTCGCCATATATCCTACAGTTTGCGGACAATTCATTGTCGGCCAACCATTGGCTCTCATTTATATGAATTTTATTTTGACAATTTTTGTTTTATTTGTTTTTACTTTATTTAATGTAATTATTTACTTGAGAAAGTGATTTGGAAATAATATATTCTACAATGTAAAGTTTATTATGCAATGTGAAATGCAATGTATAGTTTTATTTGAAAAGGTGTTGTGGAATATAAGTTCAAAAATCACATTTAAAAAATTATATAAAATCATGATTAGTAGATATCTCTTTGTTATCAACTAATATTTACATTAGAAATTGCATTTAACTTGTTTAGCATGTGAATTACATAATATTTTTCTAACTATTATTATTCATAATTATTATTTTTATAATAAAAATTATTGACTATACATATAAATTATGTATTATAACATATTTTAATTGCCTAATTTTTTATATTTAATAACATTTTTATTATTTACATTGTAGTTATTTATTATTAGTTATTTCTCTGTTTGTTTGAAACACATTTGTTTCTCATATTAGTATATAATATAATTATATTTTGTATCAATATTACCAATACTCTGACGGACTATTGATTGGAGGAATAGTCATTATGGCAATGGGATTATGACCAACATACATACATGTTTTTATGTCAAATCATAATTTTGTGTATGTATGACACAAAAAATGACAATACACATTGTCAATATTCAGATTTTAAAATTAATGTGAATATTATATTTACAGGTTTGGACGTATTATCATGGTTAGTTGAACTTTGGGCACAAAAGGCGCGTGTGTATGTTGGTGTGGCACAATTTTTCTATGGGTTATGACTCTGTATCGGTCCTATAATCTCAAACCCTTTTTTGATAAACAGTAACACCAATTATGTGTCCATTAATTCAACAAATATTACAAATTCAGATATTATTCGTGTAAATCGACTCGAAGTGCCGTTTGTTATAAACGCTATTTTACTTCTAATAATTGCAGTTTTGTTAATAATATTACATTTTTATCGCGAATATATTCCGAGTTTTACAGAATCTAAGAAATTGTATTACTTATACAATACACTCGGAATGTTAAGCATTGGCGCCTACTATGGCCTCCAACTAATCAACTTTCTGCTGATTCCAACATTTTTGACGGAATCCTATCAACAAATATCTGCGTCCGAGAGTTCTCGTATGTTAGCCCTATTGACCGGTGTTTTTGCATCATTTCGTTTCATCTACTCTATCGTTGCCATCAAATATTGGACTAAAAACTACGTTTATGTCAATTTAATTCTCATCTTTATCTCAAATATACTGCTATTTGTGTTTCAATATTACGAGTACTCAGAGATGTTAATAACGGCCGCAATAATAATTATGGGAATAGGATTTTCATCGGGATTCCCGACTCTAATTGTCTTCTTTGTATCTAATGCTAAAATAACAAACAAAACGTCAGCTCTTCTCATGAGCTCTACCGGTATTTTTTCGGTTGTTTTGTACGTCGTTTGCAGACAATTCATTGCCGGACAACCATTGGCTCTCATTTATATAAATTTTATTATTACATTCTTTATTTTACTTGTTTTTACTTTATTTGATGTAATTTCTTACATTAAAACGAATTAAAATGTTAGCTAAAATATATTTGCTTACTTAAAGTGAACAGTTTTTAGAAAATGTTGTATAATATTTAAAAATAAATTATATTAATGTTTGTACACGTATTACGAATATACTCTTATATTTATAAACGCAGATAAAAATTGGAGTCAATTAAAAGGTATAATTATTTGTATACAAACTTCGTATTACACAGTAATCATGTAATTTATATAAAGATGAAATAGATCTAGTCACATTTACATCACAGACTTATATTTTATTTTTATAATTTTAAATATCATTAGAGTTAGCTAATTTTATAACAAGTCATCAAAATTCATTACATTATATTTAATATAAAATTATTAAAATTAAAAACTTTATAAAGAATTCCCAAATAAAGATTTATTTTGACGTATAATTACATAAAGACTTGTATTTTATATATTACTAAAATATATACAGTATACAAAGTCATAATATTTTAATTATTAATACAAATATTATGCTAAATTTCAATTTAAAATTTTAAAAATAAAAATAAAACTTGTATATAACAAATACCAACGATCTTATAATGATTTTTTAAGTGATAAATTTAGAAACAGTTTATAGTGTATCTCATATCACAATATTATTGCAAATCATTTTATGAATTAATTATTATAATATATTAAGTAAATATTACAAACAATA